GCGCTGCCGCGCAATCTCAGCTCTTCCACACTGTCGCAATCAATCCATCTCGCGGAGTGAAGTGGAAGAACAATCGCCTCGTTTATAATAACGAATCAGCGGCGGCCCTGCGTGCGCTCCTTACCCAGTCGCCACACTTGGTGCCACACATCCGGAGGCTCGAAATTGACCTCAGGCTGAACGCGGCGGTCCTTGAGGAAATCCTCGCAATGGGACTGACCTGTGTTCGTGAACTTCAAATCCATATGGGGCACAGAATAGACGAATCCGCTGTCGAGCTCGCGCGGCGCCTCGTATCTTTGCCAACCGTCGAATGTGTGGAGATGTGGTCAATGACCCTGTCCAAAAGATTTTTCTCCCTGCTATTTGCTGGTCCTGTACCACAACTGCGAAAGATCGACATCGAAGGATCTATGCACGACCCACGTGAAGTTTTGGACGAGGAGCAAGATGAGGACGCGATGCAAAATCCCAATCCAGCGCGTCCCTCGGTTACGCACTTGCGCCTGGTTTACTCCTCCGACTACGTGCCGTGGTTACTCAGTGCGGCGTGTCCATTTGACTTGGAACACATCACGCATGCGGACGTTTCCTTCACTATGCACGCCGGTGCCGCGAGCATCTTGCTGGGCGCGTGCCAAACGCTGCGGGAACTCACTGTGATGCCAGGTGCGTCCAACCCACATACATGTTCATTTCAATTTGCATTTACATGGAACTTGCCGCAGAGGACCTTGCCGATTGTCCCTCGCTCCGTCTCCTTCCCTCGCTCACGCACCTAACACTCAATGTCCACCGTGAAGATGTGACTCCCCGGCCATCATGGCTGGAGACCTTCCCATCGTGGCTGGAGACCCTCCACCCAGATAACCGTATCTGCACAATAGCGATATCGATTGGCCCACTATGTATATACGCGCAGTGGATGCGCGAACTGGCGGGCATCGACGTCCGCGTGGCTGAGATCGGGTTACCGGCACTGCGATGCTTCGAGATCCAGCTCCCATCGCCAGGGGATGCGGCCGAGAGAGATCGTGTAACATATTTCGAGGGGATGAAGAAGTCGTATGTGGAAGCCCTCGGGCGGCTCAGAGCAAGAGGGGTGTTGGTTGTACGTATAGGTGATTGAGATTTCGACCGTTACAAATGGAAATTCAATAGCAACGGAATGAGACCCTAGCTCACGAGTGGATCCTAAAAGTGATGGGCATTGTCGATAGAATGCGCGGGTGAGCCCACCGTCAGATTCAGGATACATTTCCGGATACGCGTGGTGAAGCTGAGTCTCGTTTTTTGGGTTGGCGGCATATGGGATGCCATGTTCTACATAAATCGACCGCACGATGGCGCCCCGGACAGGAATACGCCGCTCCCGGAGAGCTCAAGGTCATATTCCGGCCCTCAAGCCTTCGGAGACTCGGAGGCGCAGGCAGTTGTATCATCAACAGGGCAGCTTGCACCCCAGCTGGCGACCTTCATGGCTTGTGAGCGATTTTTTTTTGCCTGTAGTCAATCTCAGTGGAAATTACTTTGAGTGACCGGAGAATTTTTCCCTATGCGCCTTGGCCGCAGCCAAAAAAAGTTGAAGGAAATGCGTTGCTGTGGTTGAAATCAAAGAGGTTGTATTTGGTCATCTCGTGACACCATGTGGGTTCTGCCTTGGTTCTGCCGGCCCTCTGATCGTTGCCGACCCGGCAAGTTGAACTTCTGAGTTCAACACTGATGCGTTGTTTAACCCATCTTCCAAAAGGTAAAGCCCCCAAAAGCTAGAAAGTTTAATGAGTCCATTGGCATCGCTCTGGCCTGTCCCTCATTTGCTCTTGCGTTTGCTGAGTAAAAATTCCATCTCACATGCCTTCCATAATGGTCGTGAGAGGAAGATTACTGTGAAGGTGAAGCTAACGACAGAAGTCAGTCGGTATTTGTCTCCTCGTGAGACGTTCAATGTGCTTACATTGTTGTCATGGGTGTGATGGTGAGAGACAAGAATGGGATTCAGAAATCCCAGTTATATAACCGGCCTCAGTGTGGCATCAAGATGATCTTTCTGGACTTCCTCCGTGATGCTGGGACATCCGCCACGTCGAAAACAGCCTTCATGGCAGAGCGTGTGGTACACTCCAGCGCTTCTCTTGGCGCCTCATCCTTGGCGTAATCGGCGAGATATGTCGTAAAGGACGTTAACGGCCTGTGTGAAGAAAGTACTCCAAGGCACGTCTTGGTTCCCTTCAGAGAGTCCTCGGTATGACGATTTCACTGAATCGTAGATCGCGGCGACGGAGGCGCTCGCTAGTGGTATTTAGATTCAGTCCTGTCTGATACGGCTGCCAGCTCAGATATATAAGGTTGGACAACATAGTCATCTGAGACGTTGCGCGCTAGCTCTGGACAGCTTGAATGGTTCCAGGAGAAAGGAGCAAATAATTTCGTGGTAGTCAGAGCGCCCGTTTTACGGAGGTCAATTGAGCTGACCGTCAGCGTCAAGTCGCCGGTAGGGCGCTAGATCCGTACCAGCCGATAAGGCCTCGCTCAGACTGAAATCGTTTCCAGGTTGACACGCATTGGCCCTACTATAACGGCGCTGTACAGTTCTTGCATGTGGTCGCTTTGGCCCCCCGCATGGCGGCGAAATCGGCGCGAAGATACTGAGAGCTTGACCGTCAGACGACTGAACTCGTAGAGTGCATGCACCTTGTTCACTTTGCGGGCAAGGAACAGGAAGGCTATCAACAGAGACAGAAACCCGAGATATTTGAAGGGCGGGAACACCTCTGCGAAGCTTCCCCTTCTTGCATGCGGTCGGACCGCGAGCGTACGCGACGAAGATAGGACAACTTATGCAGACGATGGGGGCAGTTTGAAGGACGGGAAGACGCAGGGGCAGAGTGAGTTGGAGCGGGCGTTCGGACGAAGATTTGCCAGCACGGCGCAACCGATCCCGTTGTTACTGAGAGACCGCAAGAGTACAAATTGATGAAAGAAGACAAAAAATGCCGCTGATGCTCGGGCAATGAAGTACACCCACAACTGACGAGGGCTTTGTAGTTTCGCACACAAAATATGTCGAGACGCGGCGTGAATGTATGATGACAAGAAGGACGGCCGGCCGATGGGGGTGGAGGGCTGCGGAGAAGGGCCGTGGCAGAACAGTAGCCACGTCGGCGTGGTGAAGCGAGGAGTGGAAATGACGCGATAGAAAACGCCAGGGAGCGAAGGCCCCAGAGCATCAATGAAACAACATGAGGAGTAGAATGTTGGGAACCGAGAGAGGAAAATGGGATCAGCGGGGAAGTAAGAGCATGGTCGCCAGGAATGTGGAGTAAGAAGGTGATATAGGATAGTGTGGGGAGGCGGAAAGGAACACATTAGGCGGCAGTGAGAACGGCGAGCCATGGGACATCTGAAGCAATTTGAGTGGATGCAGAGCCTGAAGAGAGTGCGCGGTGGAACGTAGAGCAAGGTTGCGATGCACGAGCATGTATGGGGGGCGTTTTGAACTCACTACTTAGCGTGGAAGACAGTGAAGTAGGGTCGTGGCGATGAACACCAATAGAAATGGGGCGAAAGGATTGGGCCGCCGGAAATGGAGCGGAAGGGAAGAGAGAGCATTGAGCTGATCGAACTTCCGAGGAGAAGAGCAGCTCGCACTTTCGAAGTTGGAGTTGACGATCTGGAGGAGCAAGAAGGCGTGTCGGGCCTGCCGACAATGGCGATGAGGGACGTGCAGAAGAGCATCTCGACGATGCTGCGGGCCCCGTCGTGTGTGCGGGCGAGCGTTAGCGAATCAATGCAAGTAAGAAATGGGACGTACTCTGTGTGTATACCCTTCCAAAAGGATCACAGTTTGTGATACTGTACCCCTTGCGCGTCCCGACGGACACGCACGAGTAGTCCTGGTTGAAGTTGGCGAACAGCATCCCCGACATCCCGTCTTCCAATTCTTCTTCGCTTCTTCATCAAGTAAATGCTTGTCTTCAGGCGTCCGGTATGGCCTTCAACCCGCGTGGTCGTCGAGTGCGGTCAAGGAAGCTGATCGTAGAGTCGTTGAATCGTCGTGATTGCGCGAATGGACGAGAAAAGCGCAGCGTAAGCAGCCAAGCCGTGTGTGTGTGCGTATTTGCCTGCAGCACCCAGCACGCTCACCACGTTGCTTGCCGAAGTTAGGGGCTTGTGGTGGCGAGTTGGCTTGGTTGTGGGGTTTGGTTGAAACGTCGAAGGCTCGCTGCTCAGAGGCGCACACGATGGTTAAACCGACTACAAAAATAACGGGGGGAAAGGCCGGGTTACTCTGCGCCTCTCACAAGTGCAGTAAATACTCAAAACGGACATTGGTCCAAGAATTGGCGGGGGCCCGAGTCGAAAAGGCTCCTTCCGGTGATGCACGATAGAGGTGCCGGAAGTAACTTGCCCTGGGCACACCGTGTGCTACCCCGCCTTCCCTGCATTGGTACGCACCTCGTTTTATGCATCACAATCTAGCGAATATTCACTATATCAGAATTAAACCGCCAACTGCACAGCCTTGCGCCGACGAAAAAGTCCAACCCTTTTCTAGCGGGTTGGGTTGGGTCAACGCAGCACATTACCTGCACTCAACAAAAAAATCGCATCGTTCGAATTTCGGCCCCACGCCCGCAAACTGACAGTTTGAGGGAAACAATGCATTACACTCTCGATATCCAAGTCCATGGCGGGGACCCGAGTCGAACAGGCTCCTCCGGGGCACTATCACTTGTTGAACAAATATCGAATTTGCTCCCGGTGCACCCCGTGTGCTACCCCGCCTTTGTTTCTCTGTCCTGCGCCTCATCTCATGCATCACAATTCAAACTCACACGATTCCGAGTCCAAAACAACAAAAAAGGATTCGACGGTCAAGCTCCAAAAAACCCGGCCAGTGTACGGGACCACAGTTTTCATAATCTGATGGAAGAAAGGTGTAGGGATAGACCATCGCGTCCCATTTCGAGAGTAAGAAAAATACAATTCGACTCGCGAATTGGCGGGGGCCCGAGTCGAACGGGCTCCTTCCGGTACACGTTGGTGTCCAATTTGCTATAGATCCCAGCCGCACACCATGTGCTACCCCGCCTCCCCTCTTCCCTTTTGGGCCTCATTTTATGCACCCAATTTTAATAGTACACATCCTCAAGAGTTAGAACCAAAGAATTAGGGCCCCGCGCCGCTCTGAGCCATCCATCTACAGAAATGTTAACTCGATTATATTGAAAAAGAGTATGTGAATAGTCGGGTTAAGCTGCTGTGCGCTTCGAGCCTACATTTTAAAAAAAACAGCTTGACCGATGATTGGCGGGTCGAACAGCTCGCCGAACCTGCGGCTATCAACTCGCTAAATGCAGTGAAGCACGACCCTTCAAGATTTAGCGTAGTCCCGCCGTATGGATTGCACGGAGGTAAAACTTGATGAATATATCTCAATCGGTGCACAAGTGTGTAACAATGCAGGAAAAAAAAAAACAATCTCCAATGAATTTTATCTCAAGTAGTGGGTGCACGAATCACCAACGACAGATCTTCCTTCCGACTATCATGTCAAAATTCCAAGCTCTCAATTACGCTCGCACCTCGCTGCTGGGAGCCAAAGCACTGTCCGGGGTGCCAATGCACCATGCATCCATGTCTGGATTGGCCGAAACGGTCCACTTGCTGCCTCAGGACGGCGAGGACCGTACAGCAGCGCGCCCGATTTCTTACGTCCTCACCTCCTCTGGAGTGCCGATGACGCTCAAAAGGGTGCTATATGCCCCAAATCCATTGTACCATCCGGGGTACTGGCGCTCAATGCATCTGTGGATCGTTTGGCCGACGCTGCCTGCTTGCAGCCCCAGGACGAAGGGGATCTGTCTGCAATGGCTGTCTTGCCCCGCGATGCCGGTTGTTGTCATGTTCCGATCAAGACCGCACATGGCATTGCCCGCGAGACTGTGGACGAGGCCTCCACTCTGTGGGTGGTTTCGTGGGTGTTTGCCCCTACTGCGAGTGATGCCTCGTTGGCACTCATCACCACCGGCAGCCTCGGGTCGTTACCCAGCTTGCTCCATACTCTCCAGCTTGTCATCGGAGATGTCTTGGCATCACCAAGGCGGCTCGGCCTCCTCATCGCCGTCTGGTTCTATGCCGCCCTGCTCGTTGTCTACACTGCGGCTCTGTTCCCGATGACTACGCACCCCTCTACTGGTCTCTGGCGATCTGCGCAATCCGCGGTGCATTCCTTTGCCAATGCGCAAGTCTCTTGGTACGCATGCTCGGCTATGCCATTCTCTGATGTGGTCCATTGAGCTACTGCGACGTCGTGCTCAAACTCAAAGGGCAACACCCGTGCTGGTGGTATTTCCAATGGGGGGACTACACGGGGCCGTGGCAGAGGGCTGCCCGGGACTGCACAACCCCCGTGATGCCCCTCCCGTTACGAGTCCAGTGTGATGCAACTCTCGTGTATGAGTCTGGCTCTCGGCCTTTCTCTTTTGACGAGTCGGGCTTTTTTCTCCGTTTCTTTTCTCGGAGGGTTTTTCACACCCACTGTAAATCCCGCGACCGCTTGCGGCAAGGGTCTTCTTCCTGCACTGTTCTTTCAGGAATGGTCCTGACACAACCCTCCGCTCTTCTCTTCAGAGGGAGAGCTAGGGGCTTGTTGCATGCATCTGAAAAGGGAAACACCCACAACAACTTTCTGTGTTCTGGTGAATTCCGAGGATTTTACCTGGGAGGAGAGAACTCCTCCTGTACAGCAGCATTTTATGCTGGTGGTCAGGTCCCACGTGGTTGTAACCAGAGGTCCTGCCTTTTTGAGGCCAGCCAGTTCATGGTAAGCCAGTGTCTTGTGCTAATGGACCCCTGGAATGATGTTGTGCTCCATTGGCATGTTGTAGATTCCTGTAAGGATAGCCACTCATACAGTACTACATGTTTGTCTTCAGTAGACTTGTTGTTCATGTTGTGGACCACATTAGTATAATCCCCCCCCCCCCCCCCAACGAATCACCAAATTTTCATGGTCTGCTGAACATGTTTGTGAGCAGAAATCAGTGTAAGACTTGCCTCGAATCAGGTGTATTGGATGCTGCTGCATCAACGGCATGGGTGGACAAGTTGCAGTGCTGCTCGCCCTGCAGAATGTTTTTCTCGCTAAGTTCTACTTGGATGATTACCACATGGCGCAGTCGAGGGTTTGGGATGGGCCGAAGCCTCAACCAAGGGTCCCTCAGGCTCTGCGGAGAGTGGGCAGTCATATATTCCATGTGATAATAAGTACATGACTTCAATGGCAACTCTTCAATATGTAAGGATGACGGGGAAAATTCCAAATGAGGCCGCAGGAGACAGGACGTCAACGAGATGGCAGCGTGCCGGGGTTGGCCGGAGGTCTCGGGCAGAGAGCAACAGATACACAGCCAAATTGGCCAGCCATGAAAATATGCATTATTGCTACATTTGGCAGTGAATGGTGTTCCTCCACAGGGCTATTATGGGCTCTGCATGATCAGCTATCAGGCCATATGATGCCGACTACCAAAGAGCTTTATTCTATCCAATATATCCACTCTGCGAATGATGGTTGAAGTCCTGGGACTTACCTCGGTGTATACTGATACACTCTGCCAAGTGTGGTACTGTTTGTACGAAGTACGCGACGCGACACCTCACGTGATCATATCGGGAGTTCCGGAGCATCGGCCGGGTCGGAGTTAACCAGAATGTACTTACTCTTGTTGATGACTCATCTCTAAGCTCAACAGAATAAGTTGTAATGAAGTAACCGAGCATCCTTTATGGAAGCTTCGGGTATGTACAGAAAGCTACGGATAATCCGGAGCTGTTCCGATGTTCAAGAGTGTAAAGGGAGTAACTGGAATGAAGTTATTTGGTACTCAACCTGTGAAACAGGGGAAAGTACTATGACTTTAATTCAGGAACCTATATGACATTCAGGAGCAAGCCCTAACCAATGGCATAATAACACATTTAGTATATATAGCCAGCCATTTTGTAGTGTTCCCCAGTGAATGCCCGCCCGAAGGCTAGGACTGGAGTCTCCAGTCAGAGTCCTGAGGGCAGGAGTGCACTCTGGCGGTACTTTGATTCGCAATGTTATATCTGTTTGATGGAATATTGTTGAGACTAAGTTGTTTGAGTTAAGGTCGGACATCGTAACCCCGGTTAGTGTGTGAGGCTAACACCATTGCCCCTCTCTACGTTTTAAAGGTTCGACTGAAGGCAACAGCATGGGTCTTCCTGATGAAGGTCCTGAGTACGGTGATATGTTTGTCTCAAGTTCCGTGGAGTGTTGATTTGGATTGCTATATGGGACTTGGAGTCCACAAACTCGAACTTCAGTTCAAACCCAACCTGCTGGCTAAATGCCGTTACTTGCCTATAGCTGAGAAGCTTAAATCTATCATCTTTGAGCTCATCTACATTCATTGACCTAGTCAATTTGTGATACAAGCCTTGCTTGATACCATGGGAGTTCCTCTTAGGAGGTTACTTCCAGCAGTACAAGTCAATCAAAGTGTTCTCAACCTAGAGCCTTCCTTAGACCTATACCTGTGTCTAATAAGACCCAAAACTCGTCGGACTACTTCTGCAGTTGTGAAGAAGTGTTTGAGTGGAATGAGATTCAATTATTGCAGTGGTTTTGAGTAGTGTCTTGCTCCTTGGAGTCAGGTCTTCCTCAAGTCACTTGATGGTTGGGTTTTTGTTTCATTTAGCACATTTCAGCAGTAGAGCCCGAGCAACCCTTTCACCGTGCCCGACGGGGCAGCGGCCATCTGATGCACACCATGCCGTGGATGCACAGATGAGCCAAACCACTGCGGCCATCCGCTGGGTAGGTTCCAGATGTGGGTCAGGTAGCAATGGAGGTGGGAGGGAGGGAGTCGCAATGGAACTGAGGACTTTATATGCAGGCCCCACGGAGTCCCCAATTGGAAAGGGCCGCCTTTGAGAAAAGTGCGGCCTTCCTAGGCATCAAAGACGGCCCTAGGCTGTGTTTCCCGATTAGGCGTGTGGACCGCGTCTTGTACATCCTCTCAGCGAGAGTCCAGTTGTGAGTATACGGAGTTTCTTGATAGAAAGTCGTATAACACAAGAGACCGTTTGCGGAGTTGTTAGTCGGCACAGTAATTGCGGACTCCGGCGTAGCCGAACACACTGAGCTGCAGTTGCCGAAACCATGCCGAGACACGTGTGTGATCCTTACACCAGTTCATGGCCCAGGTTGTATGACAGCGGGTTAATACTTGGATGGGATGAGAAGATTATACTAACCGGGTGTCGATATAGAGCAGTATATTGCAAGATGAACCGACGCGAGCCCACGGTAAGCACGGAGGCCCCGGACACTACCTATGAACTCCGTCCGGAATAGAGTAAATCGGCCTCAAAAATTGGTGTTTTCCGGTTCGGGAAATAGGGTAGATCAAGGTCTGGAGGGTCCGAGATAGAGTAAATCTGGCCACAGGCAAGACTTTTTTGCAGTGTCTAGGAACCAGGATTGAAGTTTTTTTGTCGGTTTTCAGCTCGGGCACGTCCGAAACACTGCGTTCCCAGGGTCCGTCGGCACAGGGTCTGCGGACGCGCCGTCGGCCAACGTCAGCAGACCTGGAAGTCGACATGCTCCGCCGATGTCTGCCCTTGTTCAGAAGCCTGCACTCGGTCTCAAATATTGATTGAATTTTGCCCTGGCTGTGAGCGGCATGACTGCCGTGAGTTACCGTCATCACTATTGATGGCCTGGCAACAGAAATAGCTGCTGGCTGATGTCACCTGGATTATTCGCGGTGGTAAGCACCTTGCAAGCACAAATTGCAGAAGGCATCTATTTATTTGAAAACTGGATGGATGCAGGAGCACAGAGACAGTGAAGCTGGCGGTGAGCGGCCGACGAGGAGTGGTCTCGGCAAGGTCAGCTATTTATGGAGGGTCTCGATTCGGCATCTATTCTAAATCTATACATACATAAGACGTCTCCACGGCCACCGGATAGCTGCCTGTGGTGCTGACGAAGTGCCAACCTCTGTTGTTTGAGGAGTGGTGAGCGGGGGGAAGAGCTGGAGTGCAATCCGGCATCTA